GTTCGGGCATCCATAGATCATCCGGGTCGTATTCCGCCGCCTCATGGATATGTTGGTAAATGTCCGACCCCACCGACTCCATCTCCACATCCGGCATGTCAAGGCTTTCGTGTGAAGGTTGGAGCAAAGTACGTCGATCTGGGTAGCGGTTTGGCTGTCGATTCATTCGCTGAGCTGTACGTTGATCCGCCTCGTACTTCTTCATGGCTGAATTGAAGTACCGACTTAGATCGCCCTCTTCTTGATCCTCCAGCCCAGTGCGGGTACTGGCCGATCTCTGCGGCATGTTGCTCTTGGCTTGTCCCTTATAGGCGTCGATCTTGGCTTGTCCGATCTTGTCCTTTAAGAACCTTCCACCCGATGGTCCTAGAGACATCTGACGAATGCTGATGGATCCATCTGACTCGCTCTCGGAGTCATCCGAGGCGTAGCGGGGCGATCCCGCGGGGTATTTACGGAGCGAGCCCGAGGGCGTCCCGATCTTGTCTTCATGAGTATTCGCTTTGCCCACCAGTATTATCATGATCTCTACAAACTCATTCGCCGCGTCCTTCAACTGTTCCAAGCTGCAACTCAGCAGTTCATCTCCATCAAAAGCGTCAGGGCAGATACCCATGTCGTCCAACATCTGCAAAATCACATTGATCTCGTCGACTTTGTTGGTCCCGTGAAGTGGGACCGAGATCGGCTTATCCAGAGGACCAATCACCTTGGGCCTTAATTTCTTGAACACTGGGTCCGTCTTGAGCAGCGTCTTTAACTGGCCATAATAGTACTGCCATTTTGCACGCTCCCGCGCTTCACCCGTCGTCTCCTTCTCCCTGGACGCGATCTTTATTGGGTTATATTCCGTCTTTGGCATCGCGATCTTATCTGGTGTTTCATCGTATTCCTCTTTGGCTCCGATCTTCGATTGCACGGTTCGGCCGATCTGGCGATCTTTGACATCTGATCCCATCGATCTCGTCGCGGATCCTTCTGATGTGGTCGATCTCGCGATTGTGCTCTTCGGCTTGAGGTCGGGCGATATATCGACTAAGATATAGGGTTTGGCTTTCGCCGATTTGGTTTTCACCGTTGGATTTTCATCCAGCAGATCGCTCTTTGTAAAGCGATCTGCGGTGGCCCCGAAGGGACCCTAGGAGGGAATTGAGGTTTATCTTCCAGATCGATCTCTCGATCTTCCTCTTTCATTTTCATTTCATCAGAGCCCCTCCCAAAACTCTGATGATCTGAGGATCTTGTGCTTCTGCGTGTCTGCGTCGATCCCTTTGTCGCTGACACTTCAATCCCAGGTTCTTGCTTAATCTTGACATCTTCGCCAGTGGACTCACGGTGAAATCCAGAGGCCTCAGAAGATCCGGGCACGCGCACCATTGTGGTGAAGTCGATCTCACAAAATTGCTTGTATGAGTGTCGATCTTCCACTTGCCCAGACTTGCCGACTCACGGAGGGGGTACTCCGATCCGTGCCTTGTTGTATGACCTTGTGCTCACCTTGTGTACCCGTCGGTTGGGCTGGCTTGAGCTCTTCGTAACGGCCTTGGGAGATGTCGATCTCGCTGAGAGGTTGGGTTGAGGGTTCGCTTCCGGTGCGGAAATCTTCACACCACGAACGGGGGTTCTGCGATCCCGATCTTGGATCGCACCAATCTTGATTTGTCTTCGAGATCGGGGTCTTTGCTGTGCGGAAATCTTCACTCAGCAAATAAAAGTCCTGCGTCGATCTTGCCTTGGGATCGGTCCGATCTGGTCTTGGGATCGGCCGATCTTGCCGGAAGTGCGCAATCTGGGTAGATCGGTGTCTTGTTACGCCAAAATGAAACGTGCCGATCTGTCCAGGGGATCGCTTCAATCCTGCTCGGTCTTGTCTTGAACGCCTTGTCCAGATCTTCTGACCACTTGAGCCGTCTCGCGATCCTGTGCCCAAAATCCTTTTCCGTTGTGTGCTGCTACCCTAGCAGTTGAGTTGAGTGTGAGTACTTGATCGATCCGGGCCAGATATCCCGGGATCGCTCTTCTCGATCTTGGTCAACAATCCAAGATCGGTCTTCTGTGTCCCTGTAACACGCGTGCCTTAACCCGCCGAGGAAGCCAAATCAATCTTGCCTGGAGAAGAGGGGAGGATAACGTGCGTCGTGAGCAGAAGAAGTAGAGTTCAAGTCTGTTTATTAACCAACCAAATTACTATCCAACCTACCCTTAAGCCTATTCTTAACTATAGGTCACTCTTCAAACCGATATCGCCTTGAATCTGGATCGCCCCCTTGCCACGTGTCGAAATTTCGTCCCCGGAACTCCAATGATAGCGCCAATATTCCCGATACCGTACATGAACGCCAAAAGAGGACCAAATCCCAAATGGGGTACCAAATACCCATTTTTGGTACCCAAAAGCCCAAAATAGTGCCCAAATGTCGAAGGCGTCTAAATCCATTTTGCGACGTCAATTTAACCGGCTTCCACTGGCTCTTTCGATCTGAACTTTTGAGACATCACTCATGGGCCTTCAACAAGCATGTTTGTCATGATCCAAAATTCTCATCAACGATACATCAATAATCAGTGGGGATCATGACCGATCTGATGCCCAATTCGAGATTGTTGAGGATCGACACAGTACAATCCGGCCATATATGTTCTTCCGTTCATTGTGTGCACTCCGATGCTTTATCAAAATGATTCTGCTTCAACATCCACATCCTTGCCTCTGATCAGCCTTTAGAGTGGTCGTTCGGTTCAATCCAGTCCCTCGTCCCAGATCGCACCGTTGGAATCACCCCTTTCTACGCCCCGTCTCAAATCACGTTGCATCGCCTGGTCCTAGGCGTACCTCTTCCGCCAGTGGGTGACATCTTAACTGGGTGGAAACCGATCCACGTCCCATCATTTGATTAGTGACTTTACCACAGTTACAACTTCGTCGCAGAGTCATATCCCATCACCCGGTCCCAGATCCTTGTCCCAGATTGTTCCATGTAAATCGTTCCAGATCGCTCCGTCCCAGGTCAATCCATACCCATTAGTCCAACGACAGTTGGATCGGTTCGCCGATACCGTTGAGATCATCTTCCACCTCCGTATTGGATCGCCGAGTCTCATGGCCTCCTTTTCCACCAGTAAGCGGCGCTTTAAAGATGTGGCCACCGATCCTCGTACAAAATTTGAGTAGTGACTTTGCCACATAGTAAGTAGTAAGCCCCGATAATCAATCACTTTCCAATTTTCCATCTACCCCCCAAGTGTCTTCTCCGGTCTTCCGAGTGGACTCCCAGCATCCCTCCCAGTTTCGGTCGTCAAGCTTCACACCTATCAACAGGTATCAACTCTGCCTACGCTTGACTGCATCCAATCACATGGTGCATTTTATATAACCCGATTTACACGTGTCCAATCATCCTACGCGTCTAACCAACTTTGAAGTAATCACCGAAGTAAAAACTATTTCGTAGACACTACGCCCGAGTATCGGATTGTACCAGTAACCTTTAATGCGCACCCTCAATGCACACTCTCAATGCAAACATGCGTGAATGTCGAGAGCCGCCGTCATGTCTTTGTGGCGTGGTCCTAGTAGTCCCTTCGTCATGCTGTCCGCCAATATATTCGTCGTCTCACAAGATTCCAGCTTGACTTCCCCGCGCTTAACCTCATTAAGGATGTAATGGTACTTGATTTTGATGTGCTTGGTTTGACCATGGTTCACCGGGTTCGTCGTCATCTTGATGCAGGACTGGTTGTCTTCCGTAATCTTGAGCTCGGACTCGGACTTGCCCACTGCGGAATCTAGGTTTCGCGCAGCAAGCGATGCACCCACTTGCCTTCTTGAATCGACAGACTTAGAGCGATATACTCGGCTTCACTCGTTGACAATTACACACTTAGTTGCTTCTTGCTACCCCAGCTCACCGGAGCACACATGATCATGAATGCGTCTCTCTAAGTAGACTTGCGATACGCATGGTCGCCAGCCCAGTCTGCATCCGAGTAGCCATAGAAGTCCATCTCGTCGTCGAGTTTGGAGCAGATGCCGTGCGATTTGGATCCATGCAAGTATCGCACAATACCCTTGACCGCCATCCAGTGCTTGACTTGCGGTTTCTCCATGAAGCGCGCAACATAGATCACAGTCAAGGCAATGCTCGGTCGTGTCGCGGTCGTCAAGTGCATTAAGGCACCCACTGCTTGATGAAACAGAGCGTCGATATTGGTCGCTGCGTTACTTGGTGGAGTCGAGGGGTGATGTCCGTTAGACTGAAGACAGCTTTGCAATCGCTCATTTAGAACCGCTTCAGAACATCGTCAACGTAGCGTCGCTGGAACATCGTCACGCTAACTGATTCCTTTACCATCTCGATACCCAACACAAAAGAACACTTGCCTCTGTCAGTCATCTCGAAATGCGACTTCAAGTCGTACGCGCAATCATTTCGGTCGAGCTGCCTATTACAATTTGTCGAGCACTGGGCGAGAGAACGAAGCTTGAAAGGCTTGAAAGAAGTCTACACTGCGAAGTGAAGACGACTTGTGTAGAAGAAGGAATATTTGGAAGTGAATTTATTTGTGGGTTTTGTTAAAGCTACCTGATTTATCTCTGCACTGATTTATATGTTGTCCACATATAAATCATGAATCATAAATCAAGTAGGTCATCCAATCATCCTATGCGCCTAATCATTGGTAAAAACTCACTGTAATTACGCGGGATCCACTTGGACAGGTTTACGGTTTCCATGGTAGCTGATAACGGTACCTCAACCGTCAACCCACAATACGCCCCCTCAATGCGAACACGCGTGTATGCCGAGCGCTGCCGTCAAGTCCTTGTGATGCGGTCCTGGCAGTCCCTTCTTCATGATGTCCGCCAACTTAATCGTAGTCTCACAGTACTCCAACTTGACATCACCACACTTGACTTCATCACGAATGTGATGGTACTTGATGTCGATGTGCTTGGCCCGACCATGGTTCACAGGATTCTTCGTCATCTTGATGCACGATTAGTTATCTTCCATAATCTTGAGCTCGGGTCCAGACTTGTCCTCTGCGGCATCCAGAATCTCGCACAGCAATCGATGCACCCACTTGCCTTCTTGAATCGCCAGGCTTAGTGCAATGTACTCAGCTTCACTTGTTGACAGCGACACACTTGACTGCTTTTTGCTTCCCCAGCTCACCGGAGCACCCATCAGGATGAACGCATATCCCGAAGTCGACTTGCTATCAGCGTGATCTCCGGCCCAGTCTGCACCCGAGTAGCCGCAGAAGTCTATCTTGTCATCAGACTTGAAACAGATACCGTGCGACTTAGTCCCTTGAAAGTATCGCAAAATGCGCTTGACCGCCATCCAATGCTCGACTTGGGGGTTTTCCATGAAGCGCGAAACGTAACTCACAGCAAAGGCAATGTCCGGTCTTGTCGCGGTCATCAAGTGCATCAAAGCGCCTACTGCTTCACGAAACGGGGCGTCGATTATAGTTGCTGCGGTGCTTGTTATGAGTCGAGAACTGATGTCTGTTGGGCTGGTGACGGCTTTACAGTCGCTCATGCCAAAACGCTTGAGGACATCTTCCACGTAGCGTCGCTGGCACATCGACACGCTACCGTTGTCGTTGTCCACCAGTTCGATGCCCAACACGAATGCGCACTTGCCGCTGTCGGTCATGTTGAAACGCGCCTTTAAGTCACTTTTGGTGCGCATAATTAGTTCGATCGAGCTGCCAGTCACCAACACATCATCGACGTATACCAGCAAAAGCACGCACTCGCCACTTGTAATCTTGAGATAAAGACACGAGTCAAAATCGGAGACTTGAAATCCAATGGGGCAGACGAACTCATGAAAGTCTCGTTCCATATGCGCGATGCTTGTTTTAGTCCGTAGATCGCCTTGACCAGTTCAAAGCAGTCAAAGTCTTCATCAACTTCGACTCCTTCTGGGATCGCGCAGAATACCTTTTCCATCATTTCTCCGTAAAGGAAAGCTGTCACCACGTCCAGTTGGTCCAGTGTCCAGTCAAAGTACCTCGTGATTGCAACCACCATGCGCAGCGTCACGTACTTGACTACCGGCGAAAACGTCTCCGTGTAGTCGATGCAAGGGTTCTGCTTCAACCCTTTGCCACGAGACGCGCCTCGTATTTATCGATGAATCCATCAGCTTCCGTTTGATCTTGAATACCCACTTGGTGCCAATGGTATGCTGTCCAGATGGCAGTTTGGTCGCTCGGAATATGCCACGAAGTTTCATCGATTCCAACTCGGAACAGATTGCTGTACGCCAATGCACTTGATCTGGTCCACCAACAGCATCTTCAAACGTTGTCGGCTCAGACAAGTCAGTACCTTCGACTGCGTTGGCACTCGCTCGCCAAAAGACTTGAGGTGTAGCATCCTCGTTATCTTCGTCACTGCCCTTTTGCTCTTCGTCCAGATTGTCTCGAGCGCTTGATCGTCGCTTCGCTTGGTTCGATTTAAAGTCATCCTGGGCACTTGCTTCTTCTAACCCGGTTCCACGACGCTCAGGAAGTGTCCGTTGTAGAACTTGTTCTTGGCTGTTTGAACGGCTTTTGCGTTTTCCAGTTTGCTTGAACTGCTTAGGGTGAGACTTATCGCTGATGTTCATCGATTCGATATCCAGCGCAGTGTCATCAACAATTTCTTGTGGTAGCGTCGGCGAGAAACCAAACGTTGATTCGTCGAATGTGACACCGCGAGATATCACCACTTGGTCCACTTCAATGTCGTAAACGCGATATGCCTTTGACACTTCTTCGTACCCCATGAATAGTCCTTCACGAGCCTTCGGATCCCATTTCGATCTCTTTTCCTTAGGGGTCAGCACAAACGTTCGGCAGCCGAAAACCCGCATGTGCTTCACACTTGGTCGTAATCCGTTGACGATCTCGAACGGGGTTTGATCTTGGCACTTGGTCGAAATCCGTTGACGATCTCGAACGGGGTCTGATCTTGGAACTTGGGCGATGGTAGGTGATTCTTGATGTAGATCGCCGTCATTGCTGCTTCAGCCCAAAAACACTTGTCCAGCTTGGCGTAGTGAAGCATGCTGCGCCCGATCGTCACAATGGTTCGAATTGCTCGTTCCGCCGTGCCGATGGTCTGATGCGCATACGGAATGGTAACTTGCTGCTCGATTCCTTGATCATCTTAAAATGCCTTGAGCGAATTCGCCGCAAATTCTCGTGCACCATCGTGTCGAACGAACTTGACCTTGTAGTCAAACTGCGTCTGTACTGCCATGATGTACTTCTTGATGCACTCTTCGCTGTCGGACTTGGCGCGCAGACTGAAACCCTTCATACATCCGCTGCCTTCATCGACGATCAGTAGCAAGTACTTGCTTCCACCTAGCGAGTCGACTTCCATTGGACCACAAGTGTCGATGTGTAGAAGCTCAGACGGATCGTAGTGGCGCTTGTTTAGATTGCTTGGGAACGGTCGTTGAACCGTTTTTCCTTCTAGACAACCTTGACACACGCTTGATCCGCTCAATTTTGCTGGCTTCTTGGCATCCTTGATCATGCCCTTGGAGACCATTCTGCACAAGACATCAACCGGTGCGTGGCCCATACGCGCATGAAGGTTTTCGACTCTTGACCCTGAAGCCGTATTCACGGATCGTTGGGATGTGCGAAGCCAGTAGAGGCCATCCACAAGATCGGCCATCGCCACTACTTGCTTGGAGCCTTTGTGCAAAATCTTCATCTCATCACCATCAAACACCACTTGGAACTTGCCACTTTTGTTGATTTGTGGCATCGAAAGTAAGTTCTTGTTCATGCTTGGGACGTAAAGCGCGTTCTTGATATCAACTTCGCGCTCTTCACCGTTGGACAGGATCACCTTTTCGACGATCGTCCCAACACCGTTGATCGCAGCCTTGTTCCCATCTGCAACCAACACTTCACCTTCATTGCGCTCGTCCAGAAATTCGAACTTGGACTTGTCATAGCAGATGTGATGCGTTATATCGCTGTCAATCTCCCACATTCCAGGCATGCTTTTTGTCGTTAAGAGTCCACATTCCGGCGAAACAGCAAACGCCACTCGATTATAGTCATAGTTGCTGTTGCCGTTGTAGCCTTGCCACTGAACTTGATTCGCTCCGTGTCCACGTGCATTGCCGCCGCGTCAAGCTCCCCGATTGTCTTCCTTCTGCTTGGTCCAGCACTTCTCCACTTTTCCACAATTTCCGCAGAACGTACACTGAAGAACCTCACGCTCGGTACTGAAGGCCTTGGTCGCTTCTTCAGTTTTCACCGATGTCGTCTTTTTCCTTGTCTCTTGATGTGCTCATTCTTCATCACTTTCACGACGTCTTGCGTCCGCAGTTCCGCGCTGCTCATCTCCAAGTTCAGCACGACGTTCTCGTAGCTCCTGGGGAGGCTGCACAACAAGCATATCGCCGCGTCCTCATCCTCCATCTTGGCGCCGATGCTGCTGAGCTTGGCGCTGATGTTGAGAACTTCATTGCAATGATGCATTACATTGCCGCCTTCCGCCATCTCCATGCTGAATAGCTGCCGCTTCAAGAAGATCCGTCCCGCCTTCTGCGATCCGTCGTAGAGAGTCTTCAACCGTGTCCACGCAACCCTTGCCTCGTCGCAGTCATCAACCACGTGATGATAGTCCGCGCTCATGTGAAGTAACATCAAGCCGAACGCAATGTTGTTCGTCTTGACGTACTCATCACTGGCGCGATGATCGGCGAAGGTGGGGGTGGTCTCCCGGTTGACCACGTGCCACGTCGACTTGGTCAGGAACACGCCACGAATGTAGCGGCTCCACATCGCGTAGTTGTCTCCATCAAATCTATTGATAGAGATCTTGGTGGCATCATGAGCAGAGGACATCGTGCTTGGGCTCATAACCTGTTACAATTTGTCGAGCGCTGGGAGAGAGAACGAAGCTTGAAAGGCTTGAAAGAAGTCTACACTGCGAAGTGAAGACGACTCGTGTAGAAGAAGGAATATTTGGAAGTGAATTTATTTGTGGGTTTTGTTAAAGCTACCTGATTTATCTCTGCACTGATTTATATGTTGTCCACATATGTTGAAAGGTGTGAAGCTTGACGACTAAAACTGGGAGGGATGCTGGGAGTCCACTCGGAAGACCGGAGAAGACACTTGGGGGGTAGATGGAAGATTGAAAAGTGATTGATTCATAGGTCTTACCTCTGCCTACCCTAGACTGCATCCAATCACATGGTGCATCTAATCAACCTGATTTACACACGTCTAATCATCCTACGCGTCCAATCATCTCTGAGGTAATTACCGACGTAAAAACTATCCCGTAAAAACTACGCTTAAGTTCGGATTGTGTCGGTAATCCTCAATACGCCCCCTCAATCCGAACTCGCACGAATGCCGAGAGCCGTCGTCAAGTCCTTGTGGCGAGGTCCAGAAAGTCCTTTGGTCATGATGTCCGCCATCATCACGGAAGTCTCGAAATACTCGAGCTGCACTTCACCGCGCTTGACCTCATCACGGATGTGATGGTTCGTGATGTCGATGTGCTTGGCGCGGCCATGATTCACCGGATTCTTCGTCATATTGATGCACGACTGTTTGTCTTCACGGATGACGAGGTCCGGTCCTGGTTCGTTTGCGGCCGCCAAAATCTCGCATAGCAGGCGATGCACCCACTTGCCTTCCTGGATGGACAGACTCAGTGCGATGTATTCCGCTTCACTCGTCGACAGCGACACACTTGACTGCTTCTTGCTTCCCCAACTCACAGGAGCACCCATCAGCATGAAAGTGTAACCCGAAGTCGACTTGCGATCAGCGTGGTCGCCGGCCCAGTCCGCGTCCGAGTAGCCACGAAAGTCGATCTTGTCGCTTGGCTGGAAGCGGAGTCCGTGCGACTTGGTCCCTTGCAAGTAACGAAAGATGCGCTTCACCGCCGTCCAATGTTCTTGCTGCGGATTCTCCGTGAAGCGCGAGACGTACCCCACAACATACGCAATGTCCGGGCGCGTCGCAGTCGTCAAGTGCATCAAAGCTCCCACAGCTTCACGAAACGGAACGTCGATCTTGGCCGCTTCGCTGCTTGCGACAAGCCGAGTGCTCAAGTCGACCGGACTTGCTGTGGCCTTGCACTCATCCATGCCGAAGCGCTTGAGGATGTCGTTGACATACCGTCGCTGGCACATCGTCACGCTGCCATCCGATTCGTCCACCAGTTCGATGCCCAGTACAAAAGTACACTTGCCACAGTCGGTCATCTCGAAACGCGTCTTGAGGTCGGCCTTCGTCTGCGCAATCAGCTCGAGCGAGCTGCCGGTGACCAACACGTCATCCACGTAGACCAGCACGAGCACACAGTGACCGTCGACAACCTTGATGTAGAGACATGGGTCGAACGCCGACACTTCAAAACCGATGAAGCATACGAACTCGTCGAAAGTCTCGTTCCACACACGTGAAGCTTGCTTGAGACCGTAGATCGCCTTCACCAACTCGAGACAGTCGAAGTCGCCATCCATCTCGACGCCTTCTGGTATCACGCAGTACACCTTCTCCTTCATCACTCCGTAGAGAAAGGCTGTCACCACATCGAGTTGGTCCAGTGGCCAGTCGAAATACTTGGTGATCGCGATCACCATACGCAGTGTCACGTACTTGACCACGGGCGAGAACGTCTCTGTGTAGTCGATGCCGTACGTCTGCTTGAAGCCCTTGGCAACGAGACGCGCCTTGTATTTCTCGACCGATCCATCCGCTTTGCGCTTGATCTTGAACACCCACTTGGTGCCGATCGCGCCTTGGCCTCTTGGCAGTTTTGCCGCACGGAAAACTCCACGAAGATGCATCGACTTGAGTTCCGCGTTCACAGCATTTCGCCAGTGAGCTTGATCAAGACCATTGATCGCGTCTTGAAAAGTCACAGGTTCTGCTAGGTCCGTTGCTTCCACTGCGTTTGCACTTGCACGCCATAATGTTGGAGGCGTCGAGTCGTCATCTTGATCGTAGACGCTTGCATCTTCTTCGTCATCAGACATCGTTTCTGGAGCACTTGATCGTCGTTTCTGGTGACGGTTGGAGACGTGTTCCGGCGCACTTGCTTGTTCCAACCCAATTCGAGGGCGAGCTGAACGTGACATGCCGGGTCTTGCTTCACTCTTGCGCTTGCCAGTCTGCTTGTAGACGGTTTGACGCACGTCGTCCTCGTTGATCGCCAGGAGGTCGAGGTCCAACTCCGCATCTTCATCATCGTCACTTGGTCGGTCCATCGAAAAGTCAAAAGTCGATTCGTCGAAGGTGATGTCACGACTGATCACCACTTGGCCCGCCTCAATGTCGTACACTCGATAAGATTTTGACGCTTCTTCGTAGCCCATGAACATCCCTTCACGAGCCTTTGGGTCCCACTTCAATCGCTTCTCCCTTGGTGTCAGGATAAACGCCCGACATCCAAACACGCGCATGTGCTTGACACTTGGTTTCGACTTGTACACGATCTCGAACGGAGTCTTGTGGTCGATCTTGGGTGAAGGCAGGCGGTTCTTGATGTAGATCGCCGTTATTGCCGCTTCAGCCCAGAAACACTTCTCCAGCTTTGCATAATGCAACAAGCTGCGTCCGATCGTGACGATGGTCCTTATCGCGCGTTCTGCGGTGCCGTTGGTCTGGTGTGCATACGGCACCGTGATCTGTTGTTCGATACCATGATCGACGTAGAAGGTCTTGATCGAGTTGGTCGCAAACTCATGCGCTCCATCGTGCCGAACAAACTTGATCTTCGTGCCGAACTGAGTCTGAATCTTGATAATGTGGTTCTTGATACAATCTTCGCTCTCAGACTTGGACTGCAGACAGAAGCCCTTCATGTAACCGCTGGCTTCGCCAACCACAAGCAGTAAGTATCTGCTGCCGCCGATCGAGACCTGTTCCATTGGCCCGCAGATGTCGAAGTGCAGCAACTCGAACACACCATATTGGCGTTTGTCACGGCTGGTTGGGAATGGTTTTTGGATCATCTTTCCTTGCTGGCAACCGCGACACACACTTGGACCAGTCGAGTTGAGAGGTGCCTTGGAGTCCTTGATCATGCCGGTGGCCACCATCTTGCGCAGAACTTTGAGGGGTGCATGACCCATGCGCGCATGCAAGTCGATAGTCCCATTGCGTGTTGCTGCATTCGCCGATCGTTGAGGAGACCGCAGCCAGTAAAGTCCATCGACGAGATCCGCTGTTGCCACGACTTGTGTGGAATTCTTGCGCTTCAGTTGCATCTTGGACCCATCGAACACGACTTGGAACCTGCCACCCTTGTTGATCTGTGGCACCGAAAGCAGATTCTTGCTCATACTTGGTACGAACAGTGCGTCCTTGATTTCGATGTCGCGCTCTTCGCCGTTGGGCAGAACCACTCGTTCCATGATGGTTCCCACACCCTTGATTGCGGCCTTGTTGCCATCAGCCACTGATAGTTCGCCTTCCTCTCGCTCATTCAGGCTTGCAAACTTGGCCTTGTTGTTGCAGATGTAATGCGTCGCACCGCTGTCGACTGCCCACATCCCTGGCATATTCTTGCCCGTCGAAAGTCCAGCCTCCAGTGAAACCGCGAACGCAACTCGATCGTAGTTGTCGTCGTAGTTGCTGTTGGTTCGCCACTGAACATTGTTGGCTCCGCGTCCACGAGCATTGTTGCCGCCGCGTCGAGATCCACCTTGATTTTCGTCCTTCTGCTTGGTCCAGCACCGCTCCGCCGTGTGCCCCATTTTCCCGCAGTATGCACACTGGCGGAGTTCATGCTCGGCACTGAACGCCTTCGCCGCGTCTTCAGCCTTCACCGATGTCGTATTGTCACCTTGCCTCTTGATGTGCTCATTCGTGAGCACTCTCACGACGCCTCGCGATAGCGGTTCCGCGCTGCTCATCTCCAAGTTGAAAACGACGTTCACATTGCCTTTGCTGTGAGTTACGCTTGGCGCTTCATGGAAAACCCCCAAGTCGAGCATTGGATGGCGGTCAAGCGCATTTTGCGATACTTTCAAGGGACTAAGTCGCACGGCATCTGTTTCAAGTCTGATGACAAGATAGACTTCTGTGGCTACTCGGACGCAGACTGGGCCGGCGACCATGCAGACCGCAAGTCGACTTCAGGATATGCGTTTATCCTGATAGGTGCTCCGGTGAGCTGGGGAAGCAAAAAGCAGTCAAGTGTGTCGCTGTCAACAAGTGAAGCTGAGTACATTGCACTAAGCCTGGCGATTCAAGAAGGCAAGTGGGTGCATCGATTGCTGTGCGAGATTCTGGATGCCGCAGAGGACAAGTCTGGACCCGAGCTCAAGATTATGGAAGATAACTAATCGTGCATCAAGATGACGAAGAATCCTGTGAACCATGGTCGGGCCAAGCACATCGACATCAAGTACCATCACATTCGTGATGAAGTCAAGTGTGGTGATGTCAAGTTGGAGTACTGTGAGACTACGATTAAGTTGGCGGACATCATGAAGAAGGGACTGCCAGGACCGCATCACAAGGACTTGACGGCAGCGCTCGGCATACACGCGTGTTCGCATTGAGGGGGCGTATTGTGGGTTGACGGTTGAGGTACCGTTATCAGCTACCATGGAAACCGTAAACCTGTCCAAGTGGATCCCGCGTAATTACAGTGAGTTTTTACCAATGATTAGACGCATAGGATGATTGGATGACCTACATGATTTATGATTCATGATTTATATGTGGACAACATATAAATCAGTGCAGAGATAAATCAGGTAGCTTTAACAAAACCCACAAATGAATTCACTTCCAAATATTCCTTCTTCTACACAAGTCGTCTTCACTTCGCAGTGTAAACTTCTTTCAAGCCTTTCAAGCTTCGTTCTCTCGCCCAGTGCTTGTTACATCTTAACAGGATCATCGCGACAATCGGCCGCAGCATGCTTCACTGCTCTAAACTGGACAAGTGTTTATGGGCCGAGGCAGCAATGACGGCGAGCTACGTCAAGAATCGCCTGCCTTCGCCCAACTACCAAGACTAAACTCCGTTCAATATTATCAAAGGTTGCGGCCAAGTGTGAAGCACATGCGAGTTTTTAAATACCGAGCGTTCGTGTTGACCCCAAAGAAAAGCGATCGAAGTGGGACCCGAAGACTTGAGAAGGATGTTTATGGGTTACAAAGAAGTGCTGAAAGTATACCGCATCTAAGAAATTAAAGCAGATCAAGTGGTTGTATCGCGTGATGTCACCTTTGACGAATCAACGCTTGGATTATCACGGGCACTGCCGCATGAAGTTATCGATGACACTGCGCTGGACTTCGACGCGATGGACACCAGATGAGCTTTGCACCATGCAGTTCAAGCACAATAGAAAGCGAAAGAGCCGTTCCAACTGCCATGAAAAAGTCTATCAACGGACACTTCTAAATCGCAGTGGAGCCGGGTTGAAAGAAGCAAGTGCACCAGATGATTTTGAGTCGCATCAAGCGAAACGGTGCTAAAGAACTCGCGCCAATCCAGACGAAGAGCGAAAAGGCGGTGATGAAGATGACGATGACGACTCTCCTCTAGTCTTCTGGCAAGCAAGTGCCAATGCAGCCAAAGCTACTGACTTGTCCGAGCCGACAACGTTTCAACATGCGGGTAGTGGTCCGGATCAAGTTCATTGTCGTAATGCGATTTGCGCCGAGTTGGACTCAATGAAGCTACGTGGTGTGGTTCGAGGGACCAAGCTGCCAGCTGGACAGCACACCATTGGTACCAAGTGGGTGTTTAAGATCAAGCGCGAGGCTGATGAATCGATTGAAAAGTACAAGGCGCGTCTCGTGGCATAAGGGTTCAAGACAAGAAATGACACTGACTTCACGGAGACGTTCTCGCCAGTCGTCAAGTATGTGACGCTTCGCATGGTGATCGTGATCACGAGTACTTTTACTGGACGCTGGAACAACTAGATGTGGTAACAACTTATCTGCATGGTGAAATAAAGGGACCAGTGTTTTGCGCGGTCCCAGAGGGTGTAGAGGTCAATGTAGACTTTGACTGCATCTAGATGGTGAAAGCAATCTACAGACTTAACAAGCTTCACGGGTGTGGAAAGAAACTTTCCATGAGATCGTCGGCTCTATCAGATTTCAAGCTTTCGACTTTGACCCATGCATCTATGTCAAGGTAGCAAGCGGACAGTGCGTATTTTGCTGGTCTACGTCGATGATGTGTTGGTGACTGGCAGCTCGACCGAAATGATTGCGCGTACGACTTGAAGTGGCATTTCAAGATGACTGTCAGAGGCAAGTGTTCTTTTGTGTTGGGTATCGAGACGGGAAAGGATGAAGTCATCATGACGATGTGCCAGCGACGCTATGTAGACGATGGTCTGAAGCGGCATGAGCGATTGCAAAGCTGTCATCAGCCCAACGGACATCACCCCTCGACTCCACCAAGTAACGCAGCAACCAATATCGACGCTCCGTTTCATCAAGCGGTGGGTGCCTTAATGCACTTGACGACCGCGACACGACCGGGCATTGTTAAAAAGGCGGCGGCTGTGAAGAAGGCATCTCGTCAAGATGCGTCAAGTGTTGAAGCAAACTGAAGACCTAGTTTCGATATACCGGTGGTACCAGTATATACCAGTAAGGGCGAAGTCAGGGAATGACGTCACTGCAAATAATAGGCTTAGAGGTAGTATTCAAAGTTGCGAACTAAGTACCTACTATAACTATATATTCACTTTGCGTTTTGCACTCAGACCAAGAAGTCTAAATTTCTTCAGGTTATGAGCCCAAGTTCGTCAGACTCTGAAATCGACAACAATTCAAGCCAAACTGCCATGGACGCCTCCTCCCTCCGCATCTCCAAGTTCAATGAAACTAACTTACACGCCCGGAGGTTCAAGATGCAGATGGTGCTGGAGGAACGGGACCTGCGGGAGGTCGTCAGCCGCGAGATCAAGGCGGAACAGTGCGTGACTCAGTTGGACCAAGCGGCGTACAAGAGGAAGTCAAGAAAGGCGATGGCAGTGATCTGTTTGGCCATGGAAGATTCCCAGCTACCTTTAATCCGGTCGACAAGTGGTGCATGCGACGCATGGTCAAGGTTGGAAGACCACTTCGAGAAGAAGAGTCTTTCCAACAAGCTGTTCTTGCGCCGTCGCTTCTTCACGACGATGATGGAAGAAGGCGGCGATGTGCTCGAGCACATCAACAATCTCAAGACGTTGGCGGAGCAGCTAGAAGCGGTGGGGGCTTCGGTCTGCGAGGACGATCTGGTGATCACACTTCCCGGCAGTCTGAGTGACTCGTATCAATTCTGGATCACAGCTTTGGAGTCGCGCTCAGACACTCTTCGCTGGGAGATCGTGACGTCTCGACTGCTTAATGAAGAAATGAAGCGGAAGGAGCAAGGAAGTAAAGGTGATGAAGCTTCGCAAGGTCAAGCGTTCATCACAAGGGACAATCAGCGCAAAGGGCGACCAGTGAAGAAGTCCTGGCCGTGCCACAATTGCGTAAAGATTGGTCACTGGATGGCGGAGTGTCCCTCGCGCATCCAAGAAAACACGGAGAGACACCGGCCACAGCGTGCTCAAGACAGCGGCGACCGTTATCGATCACAACGTGCAAACGTCGCTCAAGAAGAAGACTCAGGCGACTACCTTTTCTCGATCGGTGGAACGACATCTGCGAAATTGAGTGGCATCTGGCTGGTAAACTCTGGGGCGACGCAGCACACGACGTGCTCCAAGAAGTTCATGCGGAAATACAAGGTGTTTAACGCTGTGGATGTCCATCTTGCGGATGATGATCACAACGTCGAACATATATATTAGCAAAATCTTCCAAGCAATCGGCAGTGGGACATTGTCATGTCGATGAAGACACCCCAAGGAATAAAGAAAGGTGTGCTCACAAACGTGTGGCACATCCCAAAGTTATCCAGGAACCTGTTTTCAGTCGGCCGCTTTACCAAGGATGTCGGACCAGTGACGTTCACAAAGGATGGGTGCTATGGAGATGCGAAAGGGACCAAGTGAAAAATTGGTGCCCGTGAAGGTAAAGGACTGTTCAAGCTGCAAATGACTCCAGTGGCGCCGGAACAAGAAATGTAGACAAGTCGTCGGGATGTCAAGGGGGAACCTAGCCGTACCTCTGGCACCTTCGGCTTGGCCACATAGGTCGTGATGGACTCAATTGCGTCGTGACATAGAACCTTGGAATTGGCATCGACGTATCTTCGGTGAAGAAGTGGGACGTGTGTGAAGGTTGTGCTCTGGGAAAACAGACTCGAGTGCGCTTCCAATCAAACACTACAGCTCGCACCTCCAAACTCCTCGAAGTGATTCACAGCGACGTATGCGGACCGATGTCGATGGCAACTTTCAGTGGAAAACGGTACTTCGTGACATTCATCGATGACAAGTCAAGATACTGTGTCGTCTATCTGCTCAAGAGCAAATCTGAAGTTGCGGCGAAGTTCATGGAATACGCTGCGATGGCCGAAACGCAAACCGGCAAGCGCGTGAAGTACCTTCAAAGCGACAATGGGGGTGAATACAAGTCCAACAAGCTGGCACGATTATGCGCGGAACGGGGAATACAACAAAGGTTCACAACCCCATATACTCCTCAGCTAAACGGAGTAGCTGAGAGAATGAATCGCACGCTGGTCGAGTGTGCGCGTTGCATGATGGAACACGCTGGACTGGGAAAGAGCTACTGGGGTGAAGCAGTGATGACGGCGATGTTACTTCGAAACCGCTGTCCAACACGTGCCATCCACCAAGACAAGTCTCCATATCAATTGTGGACGATGAAGACACCGATTCTGGCCAACCTTAAAGTGTTTGGATGCCACGCGTATGTTCAAGTGCCTCAAGACAAACGCGCGAAGTTCGACTCCAAGTCATCACTCTGTCGTTTCCTGGGATACGCCGAACACCAGAAGTCATATCGATTTGAGGAAGTGTCAACAGGAGCGATCAAGATCAGTCGCGATGCCACATTCATGGAAGACAAGTTTGATGAAGGTCCGCGCAACTACAACGATGAGTCAAGTGCCGTTGAGTTTGATGATCAAGACGAGGACGAAGAAAAAGAAGAAGGTAAAACTGACGTCGACATGGACTCGAGCGACGATGACAACGAAGACACCAGGTCTTCGAAGAGCAACATCAAGAGACACACGCGCACTCAATCACTTGAGAAAGCTACCATCATTCCAAGTCCCAAGCGAAGAACGTACAGAGGTCCGTCGCTTGAGCATGTGTCAGCGGCTGCAATGGATTTTGAAGCAGCCTACATCGTTGATTCAGTGGGGAAAACGCCGACTACATTCAAGTCGGCGATGGAATCAAGCGACTCCGGCAAGTGGAAAGAAGCGTGTGACTCGGAGTTCGAATCGCTTCAGAGAAACGACACGTGGGAAATCGTGCCTCTTCCGAAAGGTCGCAAGGCCATCGGGTGCCGATGGGTTTTTCGTGTAAAGGAGAATCAAGATGGCGAAGTTGAACGTTTCAAGGCAAGACTTGTGGCCAAAGGATTCTCACAGAAATTCGGAGTTGACTATGAAGAAACTTTCGCACCGGTGGCCAAGTTCACATCGATTCGTGTGGTGCTCAGTATGGCGGCCAAGTACGGCCTAATGCTACATCAGATGGACGTCAAGACAGCGTTTCTTAACGGCTCCCTCAACAAAGACATCTACATGGACCAGCCGGACGGATACCTGGATGCAACACAGCCGGACTATGTGTGCAAGCTAAAGAGATCACTCTACGGCTTGAAGCAATCGCCTCGCATGTGGAACCAAACAATCGATGGGTTCATGATCAAGATGGGGTTCAACAAGTGCGAATCGGACCACTGCATCTACATCAAGCAAGACGACCAGGACATGATTATCGTGGTGCTCTACGTCGATGATCTCATCCTGGCCAGCAGCAACAACAAACTACTCAAGTCGACCAAGATGGCGCTGAGCACACGCTTCGAAATGACGGATCTCGGTGAGCTCAATTACTTTCTCGGCATGGAGATCAAGAACGACCGTAAGACTGGAATGGTGACTGTGCGACAAACCAAGTTTCTCAAGTCCGTGTTGACCAAGTTTGGAAAGGATATCAGCAAGCCAGTGAAGACGCCTCAAGATCCCGGTCTGAAGCTCACCAAGAACATGTGTGACCGAGAATAAAAGCACGAAGACACCATGTGCAACGTGACATATCGAAGTGCTGTCGGAGGCATCATGTATCTCATGGTCGCCACACGTCCGGATCTAGCTGCTGCAGTGGGATCATTATCCCAGTTCTCGTCCGACCCATGCCCGACTCACTGGAAAGCTTTGAAGCGTGTGCTGAGATACCTGCAAGCAACGCCCAATCACGGTATTGAGTTCACAAGTGAAGAAGGAAGCCGTACCTGCGGGTACACCGACGCAGACTGGGCCGGCGACATTGAGTCAAGATGAAGTACAAGCGGCTATGTGTTCACGATGAACGGAGGATGCATCAGCTGGAAAAGCCAGAAACAACGGACGGTCGCGCTATCTTCAACAGAAGCAGAATACATGGCGCTTTCCGAAGCAACCAAAGAAGCAGTATGGCTCAAGGTGCTTTTGGGGGAACTTGGTGAGATGACAAGCGACGAAGCGATCAAGATGTATGAAGACAACCAAGGATCAATCGCTCTCGCCAAGAACCCGGAGTTCCATAAGAGAACAAAACACATCGACATACGCTACCATTTTGTGCGTGAGAAGGTGGAATCAGGTGAAGTCGTTTTGGAGTACTGCACGACTCAAGATATGCTGGCGGACATGATGACCAAGCCGATCGCCGCTGTACAATTTGCAAACATTCGCGATCGACTTTGGATCCAAGGTGCCGCATCTAACGAGCCGAGAGAGAGTGTTGAAAAGACGGCGGCTGTGAAGAAGACACCTCGTCAAGCTGCGTCAAGTGTTGAAGCAAGCCGAAGACCAAGCTTTAATATACCGGTGAGTACCGGTATGTATCGGTAAGGGCGAAGTCAGATAATGACGTCATTGGATGACGTCAGCGGAATGACGTCATTGGATGACGTCACTGCAAATAATAGGCTAAGAGGTAGTATTCAAAGTTGCGAACTAAGTACCTACGACTGATTTAAATTCACTTTGCGTTTTGCACTCGGACCAAGAAGTCTAAAGTTCTACAGCGTTTGGTTTGATGTTGCTACACATGAATGCGGATTACCGCCATGTTCTTGACAACTGCGAGGAAGCGTACGTTGCGTGGACACGTCTGAAGACGCTGTACGGTGGGTCGCAGAGGGCAGGACGCATATTCCTCAAGCGACAACTTTTCAGCATCAAGATGGCTGAAGGCGCGAACGTCATGCATCACTGCAACGAGGTCCTGAACATCTCTGCCAAGCTTCGCGGCATAGGTGCGAAGATGGAAGACGAAGACGTTGCAATCTGTCTGCTGCTTGGTCTTCCAAAGAGCTACGAAAATGTGGTGCTCAACATGGAAATGAGCAGCGCCGAGCTTCGTACCCAGGATGTGGTGAGAGTGCTGACGAGTGAGCACTCCAAGCGTCAAGGAGAAAAAGGGAGGAAACAGCGAGTACGGTGAAGGCTGAAGATGCAAGCAAGGCATTCAGCACCGAGCGTGAGCCCTACCAATGCACGTACTGTGGTAAGGTGGTAAACACGGTGGATCGTAGCTGGACAAAGCAGAAGAACGAAGATCGAGGAGCCCGACGCGGCGGCAATGGTCGTAGACGCGGGTCTAATAACGTCAAGTGAGGACATTATGATGAAGGTGATGGCTACGATCGAGTGGCGTTTGCAGTCTCGTTCGAATGTGGAGTTTCGACGAGCAAGGACGTGTCTGGATTGTGGGCTGTCGACAATGGTGCAACGCACCACATCTGCCACGACAAGACCGAGATTGCAAGTTTGTCAGAGCGCAATGAGGGCGAATTATTGGTGGCTGATGGCAACAAGGTGGCCATCAAGGGCGTACGAACTATCATGGAAAAGGTGGTTCTGACCAACGGTGAATAGAGCAAGATCGGGATCAAGAACGCGTTATATGTTTCAAGTATGAGCAAGAACCTGCTTTCGGTGCCGCAGATCAACAGGCATGGTAACTTCCAATTGGTGTTCGACGGGTCCAAGATGCGTGTCTTTCGCAAGAACTCGGGACAAGTGTTGGCGACAGCGGAATTCGTGGATGGTCTTTACTGGCTTCGTACGATAGGATCACCGGATAAAACGAAGCATTTCGATAATGGAGTAAATAGTCACCTTTCCTAAAAAGGATTACTGGTGCTACCATTCAATTCAAGAGCTTTAAAGTTGCTAAAAACTAGAACCGTATAAGTTCACTCTGGAAGAACTGATTGAAGTGCCAACCTGCAGCTAACGCTTAATCAGACAGCTCAAGATAACCATGAATATTAGCAATGGCTGCATCATAGCTATTTCGCTTGATCCTATTAACTAGAAAATTCAATCCTTCGAAAAGTGATGCAAAATGGTTTCTGGAGACGACATACCTCCCCGGAGACATCTCAGCCATTCGACCCGCACACATTTCTCTCACAAAACGCAATAGTTCTTCGAAACTATTGGTAATAGCAGAAGAACTGAGCGTGAAGGAAGAAAAAGGAAACCAATACGCTAAAGCTTATACACATTTTGTGGTGTGATTAGTTGAGTTGCCAGGTCATGGTTAAAGCTGCTACTGATGAGGCTGTATGCAAAGAAAACAGCAGCATCATCGACATCTTCTCGTGCAGAATGGTAATAGAATAACTTCCAATCCCCTTGCAAACTGTATGCCGTTGCTACACAGACCTCAAGCCACATACGCCACTGGCGTCGCCAATGACCCAATTGGGGTAAAAACGTCTCTTCTTAGTGCTATTGTAGTGAAGTGGACATCGAAAAAAACAGCTTCATACTCCTTAGTGACTGCTGCTGTTGCATTATGTTTTGCAACTCGATTCAGCTGTCCGAACTGAATTACACATATCAACGTTTGAGCTCCCGAGCTTGCTCCCCTATCTTACTTCAGTTCTAGTAGATTAGGTCGTTGTTTACATAGCTTTCCATTCATTTAATTATGTCATTTCTCCTCTTTTTCTGTTCCGTTGAATCTGATATTGTCGTTATTCGATGCATGGCAACCTCTTCCATCACTAATTTCTCTCATGCACTTAGTTTTAGCAAACTTCGGGTATTGATACTCACACCCCCATTTTTATTATTTTCACCCCAAAAACCAATACAGGGTTGTATTTCATTATTCATGACACAGCACGGTGTACAAGGCCACGCGCCGTGCGATTGCCAGTTTACGAATCGCCTGATAGATGGTTGATACTCTGTTAAAGATAACCAATATGCAATCAGGTTTGCAAGAAAGAGGAAGCAAATGATGAGTACGGCTTTGGTCGATGGACCGAAGATTAACTGCCATCAAGCAGCAGATTTGTCCCTTTTTGTCAAGCCTGATAACATAGCGGTAGTTCTTCACTTTTAGCTCATCTAACAGCGCTTGAACCGGCATATGAATGCATACGTACTAATGTGTTTCTCTTGTTTGTCATTGTGTATTTCCGGTTTACGTTGCAAAAGCCGGAAACTACGGTCGAATGAACGCGATTTGCTTTTTTGACCGCATGTGTGGTGAAGTCGATCTCACAAAATTGCTTGTATGAGTGTCGATCTTCCACTTGCCCAGACTTACCGACTCACGGAGGGGGTACTCCGATCCGTGCCTTGTTGTATGATCTTGTGCTCACCTTGTGTACCCGTCGGTTGGGCTGGCTTGAGCTCTTCGTAACGGCCTTGGGAGATGTCGATCTCGCTGAGAGGTTGAGTTGAGGGTTCGCTTCCGGTGCGGAAATCTTCACACCACGAACGGGGGTTCTGCGATCCCGATCTTGGATCGCACCGATCTTGATTTGTCTTCGAGATCGGGGTCTTTGCTGTGCGGAAATCTTCACTCAGCAAATAAAAGTCCTGCGTCGATCTTGCCTTGGGATCGGTCCGATCTGGTCTTGGGATCGGCCGATCTTGCCGGAAGTGCGCAATTTGGGTAGATCGGTGTCTTGTTTCGCCAAAATGAAACGTGCCGATCTGTCCAGGGGATCGCTTCGATCCTGCTCGTTCTTGTCTTGAACGCCTTGTCCAGATCTTCTGACCACTTGAGCCGTCTCGCGATCCTGTGTCCAAAATCCTTTTCCTTTTCCGTTGTGTGCTGCTACCCTAGCAGTTGAGTTGAGTGTGAGTACTTGATCGATCCGGGCCAGATATCCCGGGATCGCTCTTCTCGATCTTGGCCAACAATCCAAGATCGGTCTTCTGTGTCCCTGTAACACGCGTGCCTTAACCCGCCGGGGAAGCCAAATCAATCTTGCCTGGAGAAGAGGGGAGGATAATGTGGTGAAGTCGATCTCACAAAATTGCTTGTACGAGTGTCGATCTTCCACTTGCTCAAACTTGCCGACTCACGGAGGGGGTACTCCGATCCGTGCCTTGTTGTATGATCTTGTGCTCACCTTGTGTACCCGTCGGTTGGGCTGGCTTGAGCTCTTCGTAACGGCCTTGGGAGATGTCGATCTCGCTGAGAGGTTGGGTTGAGGGTTCTCTTCCGGTGCGGAAATCTTCACACCACGAACGGGGGTTCTGCGATCCCGATCTTGGATCGCACCGATCTTGATTTGTCTTCGAGATCGGGGTCTTTGCTGTGCGGAAATCTCCACTCAGCAAATAAAAGTCCTGCGTCGATCTAGCCTTGGGATCGGTCCGATCTGGTCTTGGGATCGGCCGATCTTGCCGGAAGTGCGCAATTTGGGTAGATCGGTGTCTTGTTTCGCCAAAATGAAACGTGCCGATCTGTCCAGGGGATCGCTTCGATCCTGCTCGGTCTTGTCTTGAACGCCTTGTCCAGATCTTCTGACCACTTGAGCCGTCTCGCGATCCTGTGTCCAAAATCCTTTTCCTTTTCCGTTGTGTGCTGCTACCCTAGCAGTTGAGTTGAGTGTGAGTACTTGATCGATCCGGGCCAGATATCCCGGGATCGCTCTTCTCGATCTTGGTCAACAATCCAAGATCGGTCTTCTGTGTCCCTGTAACACGCGTGCCTTAACCCGCCGGGGAAGCCAAATCAATCTTGCCTGGAGAAGAGGGGAGGATAATGTGGTGAAGTCGATCTCACAAAATTGCTTGTACGAGTGTCGATCTTCCACTTGCCCAGACTTGCCGACTCATGGAGGGGGTACTCCGATCCGTGCCTTGTTGTATGATCTTGTGCTCACCTTGTGTACCCGTCGGTTGGGCTGGCTTGAGCTCTTCGTAACGGCCTTGGGAGATGTCGATCTCGCTGAGAGGTTGGGTTGAGGGTTCGCTTCCGGTGCGGAAATCTTCACACCACGAACGGGGGTTCTGCGATCCCGATCTTGATTTGTCTTCGAGATCGGGGTCTTTGCTGTGCGGAAATCTTCACTCAGCAAATAAAAGTCCTGCGTCGATCTTGCCTTGGGATCGGTCCGATCTGGTCTTGGGATCGGCCGATCTTGCCGGAAGTGCGCAATTTGGGTAGATCGGTGTCTTGTTTCGCCAAAATGAAACGTGCCGATCTGTCCAGGGGATCGCTTCGATCCTGCTCGGTCTTGTCTTGAACGCCTTGTCCAGATCTTCTGACCACTTGAGCCGTCTCGCGATCCTGTGTCCAAAATCCTTTTCCTTTTCCGTTGTGTGCTGCTACCCTAGCAGTTGAGTTGAGTGTGAGTACTTGATCGATCCGGGCCAGATATCCCGGGATCGCTCTTCTCGATCTTGGTCAACAATCCAAGATCGGTCTTCTGTGTCCCTGTAACACGCGTGCCTTAACCCGCCGGGGAAGCCAAATCAATCTTGCCTGGAGAAGAGGGGAGGATAATGTGGTGAAGTCGATCTCACAAAATTGCTTGTACGAGTGTCGATCTTCCACTTGCTCAGACTTGCCGACTCACGGAGGGGGTACTCCGATCCGTGCCTTGTTGTATGATCTTGTGCTCACCTTGTGTACCCGTCGGTTGGGCTGGCTTGAGCTCTTCGTAACGGCCTTGGGAGATGTCGATCTCGCTGAGAGGTTGGGATGAGGGTTCGCTTCCGGTGCGGAAATCTTCACACCACGAACGGGGGTTCTGCGATCCCGATCTTGGATCGCACCGATCTTGATTTGTCTTCGAGATCGGGGTCTTTGCTGTGCGGAAATCTTCACTCAGCAAATAAAAGTCCTGCGTCGATCTTGCCTTGGGATCGGTCCGATCTGGTCTTGGGATCGGCCGATCTTGCCGGAAGTGCGCAATTTGGGTAGATCGGTGTCTTGTTTCGCCCAAAATGAAACGTGCCGATCTGTCCAGGGGATCGCTTCGATCCTGCTCGGTCTTGTCTTGAACGCCTTGTCCAGATCTTCTGACCACTCGAGCCGTCTCGCGATCCTGTGTCCAAAATCCTTTTCCTTTTCCGTTGTGTGCTGCTACCCTAGCAGTTGAGTTGAGTGTGAGTACTTGATCGATCCGGGCCAGATATCCCGGGATCGCTCTTCTCGATCTTGGTCAACAATCCAAGATCGGTCTTCTGTGTCCCTGTAACACGCGTGCCTTAACCCGCCGGGGAAGCCAAATCAATCTTGCCTGGAGAAGAGGGGAGGATAATGTGGTGAAGTCGATCTCACAAAATTGCTTGTACGAGTGTCGATCTTCCACTTGCTCAGAACTTGCCGACTCACGGAGGGGGTACTCCGATCCGTGCCTTGTTGTATGATCTTGTGCTCACCTTGTGTACCCGTCGGTTGGGCTGGCTTGAGCTCTTCGTAACGGCCTTGGGAGATGTCGATCTCGCTGAGAGGTTGGGTTGAGGGTTCGCTTCCGGTGCGGAAATCTTCACACCACGAACGGGGGTTCTGCGATCCCGATCTTGGATCGCACCGATCTTGATTTGTCTTCGAGATCGGGGTCTTTGCTGTGCGGAAATCTTCACTCAGCAAATAAAAGTCCTGCGTCGATCTT